TGTGGGGGAGGGCATTTCAGCCTGCACTTTTCCCCACCAACCACCTCCCCTCTCCCCCTCGCCCCGCCACCGCCCAAGATTCCGGCGAAAGTAGCAGGCGGGAGCACGCCGAAAGGCCGCCGCACGCACGAGGTTGCCCTCCGCCCACCCCCCTCCCCCTCCTCCTGCGTCGGTGGGCTGGGAAGTTGTGGATCTGCGGCCCTTCATCACGGGCAGCTGGATTTGGCTTTCCCGGCCGCCGGTGGCTGCGCCAAGCGATGGAATGGTCGGAGAGCATCTCACGCAGCCCCGGCAAAGGCGCATCGCCGCATGCAGGTGCGGGTTCATCCTCCCGCTACCGCCGCCGGTTTGCGGGCATGGATTCGACCAGTTGTCCGTCGGGCTCGGCCCTCGCGTAGAGGCTCTGTGGCTCGTCGATGCCGCTCATACAGTGCGACGACTGCGTGCGAACAATGCTACGGCTGACTTCGAGCACGCCGAAGCACCCCAGATGGGTGTTCTTTAAATGCAAAAACGACGGGGTACGTGTTGTTTCATTCGGGTCATTTCGACAGCTCATTTTTTGTTCAATTATGTTAGCTCATTTCGAACATCATCATGTGTGTAGGAAGATGGATGCTCGTTTTGGTTTTGGGAAGGCGAATACATTGATTTATTGATAGAAACAAAACTGATAGACGTTCGTGCACTCATTAGTACAATCGAAGGCAATATAGCGCATGCATGTGCAACTAGAGGGGAAGCAACGTCTACTTCTTTAGAACCAAAGAAGAAGAATGAAGAATGCAAGATCAAGAATCCGCAGATCAACAATGAGTGCATGGAGAAAATATTGCTTCAACTAGTAGGAGCGGTTATGGAAGTTTGAAGCCTTCTAAAATTCATAATTGTGGTTCTTATTTTCTTTGGTCTTGCTATTCTAGCAAAGATTTGGAGATGTCCTACGTATCCAATGTGGTTGAAAAAGTAAAGAAATGCAAATTAAGGTGCAAATTGAGGTGCAAAATTACGTTTTGCGGGCCGGGGGGGGCGGCCGCAGAGGCAGACCCCGCAAAGCCGACCCGTGAAAGAGGATACAGGTCGGCTTTGCGGGGTCTGCCTTTGCGGCCGTTCGCGCCGGACTGCAAAACCGTTTTTTCGCAAACTGCATACACATTTTGCGATTCGGCAGGATGCAGGGTCTGCTAGAGATGCTCTAACGAACTCACTAGTAGCCTTAAATACCTAAAAAAACTATTAGCCTAAAAAACCGACATCACTAGTTCCTAAAAACTGAAATCACTAGTTGAGCGGTGCCCCTTACAAAAGTCACCCCACCTACTTAGAAGCTGACAAACTGCACACAACGCATTGCATATGTCTCATTTATCGCAACCTGTGTGTTTTTCTTTTGTTCATATATTCATTTATTTAAAACAATTTATCTTTTGAATGTGCGTCTAAATCTTGAACCGTTTGTACCGTCGGATTTCTCGCATTGAGAATTATGGCCTCAATAGTGAGACCCACATTGACCAGAAGAGTCAATTGAGTATTTCCTCGCTCCGTGGTGAAGCGACAAGTTCCAAATGTAAGGAAACGACGCTTGACGGCAAACTAATGGCAACTCCCCGTGACAGAGTGAGTGGCATAGACCAAGTTTCTTTGCAAGCGTTAGTGGCACAAACAAAAACATGCAAGTTTGAGTAGCAGGAACCCAAATATGCAACTTGCAGAAATGGCACGAACCAAATTTTCCTTAAACAACGGAGATGCAACGCATGGCAGCTAATGAGTGGATTTTGCATAGTTTTAGATAAACTTGATTTCTGGTGTAACAAACTAAAATCATGTTTGTGTTGTCTAACAGAAACACAGATATAGAAAACTGAGTTCTCCAAAACCCCCAAAACCCAGCTTGTAGAAATACGACTAATTGACGTTTTTGTATAAACTAGTTTTCGACGTCGACAATCATTGAACAGGAGAGATGGCCCGAACGTGGCCGTCGTCCTGTGGAACGACGACACATCACGAGCACCGGGACGTCCACGCACGAGCGAGACGACGCGCCGGAAGTCGGCAACGAGCTCGCCGCTTGGGGATAGGATGTGGCCGTCGTCGTGTGGCATGGCGACGCATCACGATCAGAGCGTCATCCACGGCACGAGCGAAGAGACGTCGGAAGTCCACGCGGCTGGGCGAGCTCGCCGCTCTGGACGGGCGTCATGTGTGGCATGAAGACCCGTTACAAGCACCACGACGTCTTCTACAGGCATGAGCGAGGCGACGCTGTAAGTCGGCATGTTTGGGCGACCGAGCGCCGAGCAGCATCAAAACATCATGCACGACAAGAGGCGACATTGTAACGCCAGTGGTGGAGCTAGACAGAATTAACTGGGAGGGCGAATGGTAAAAGCTAAAAAAAATCTGATCTAAACACTCACAGTAATATTTTGTCCACAAGTTGGGCACATGGAGGAAGGAGCAACCCCGGAGTGCATGTTTCATTGGCTCAACCCTCATGTTGGGGCATGAACCCTACACATCCAGATTGACTGGAGGGAATTTTTTACGAACCGCTTTGCCATTGAATGGCGTATCTATCCTTTCTTATTTCCCCCATCCAAACATGGAATTCCATAGACTTACTTTAACAGAAAACTAACTAGAACAGGTTGTCCTAACAATCCTCTAATAAC